ATGTTCCGGGATGTTCCGGAATCTTCTTGAATGTTCTGTGTTCCGGGTTTTATCGACGCCCCAATTTTAGCGGTTGTCATACATTCTCTCTAACGGCTACCGCTAAAATTGGGCCTGATACAAACTCTCTCACCCTTGTGCTCGTTACGGCCAGATTTTGGCCGTAACGCTGATTGGCTGTTAGAACAATGCCACAAGATCTGATTGGCTGTCGGAAACGCCTGAAGTTGAAAGCGCTTATTCCTCGCGTGGTTGTTTTCATGAATGATCCGCCGTCGGCGGAGAGAAGGATCGATTTTGCTGTCTTTTTTATTGCCTTAATATGTGCCACGGAAATTCAGAAAAATTCATTTGGTTGCTCATATCTTCTCAGGATTTGCTTTATTTACGGAACTAATGTGACTGTATCGCGGAGTTGAATCCCTCTGCAAGTTGTTGACTGCTAACAAGGTGCCTTTTGATTTACCAACGAGTGAATGGAACAAGTGCGAATCAAAATACTGTCCATCTTAAAACTGGTTTGATTTGAAAGTTTGGCCGGGAATGACTTCTCTGAACAGGGTACGCAAGCGGGGGCTCACTGCGACAGAAACCTCAATCGCCAACTGTGAAGAAGTATAAGACGAAAAATATCGCATCGCTGTTCAAGGAATTTTTGTAGTCATTATTATAAAAGCTGGTGGCGCTAGTCTTAAGGTAACAGACTTGTGGTTTGTCTTCGCTTTTTGTAAGAAATAAACCAGGAAAACTGGTGTCCTCGCTCGTTAGCCGTTTGCTGTTTATTTATGCGATTAATAAATTTAGCGAGCTTTTTAGACCTGCAGTAAAACGACGACACAACTAAGAAGAACTACAAAGTGTGTTTGTAATATTGTTTTTCGTTTTGTTTATAGGTCAGGTGAGCATGCAGTTAGTGGCAGATAATATTTACCTGGATTTTTTGAAAATATATTTTTTAGACGTTTGTTTTTTAAGTAAATTCGCAAATATTATTGCAAGTGTACGCACAGGCCAACTAAATCAGCTGCATGAAATACACTTGAGAACTCGTTTGGTTTGTTCTGAAATAATTTATACATCCTTTGAAAAAGTTCGCGATATATTTTTTCAAGATGTCCAAAGATTTATGTACTGGAAATCGGGGAAAATTGAGGAAGAAAATATTAAGGCAACAGAAAAATAGAAATTTCAGTATTTTAAATTCGAGCGCGCCTAGCCAAAATAATACGCTGTGGCTTGCCTAGTCCCTGTACGGCGTTTTCCCAATCCCTCTCGGTCAATTCGTTTCGGTGACGTATCCGAGGCGAACGAGCGGGAAACGCCTCACATTTTTCCATGGACCACGTAAACCGAAACGCTTTGGCCGGGAAGAAACAACGAGGCCTAGGGACTAGGCAACGCTGTGGCTATATGGCTGGTAACCGGTCAAGGTGTTTTAAATGACCGGTAGTCCCATATTTAGCCTGAAGATCATCCGACTGCTTCGAGTCGTTTTCTCCTCTCAACAACGTCTGAATCGACCGGCCGTTAATGCCGTCCAGTGACGTCACTCACTACCCGAAAACCGGGTAGTGATTTTGATTGGTTGATTGTCTAAACATTCGCATAATTATGTATAATTATGAAAAATTTTAGCGCGATTGTCGCTTCATATTCAGCAGAGGGCATCCCTGTCATTCTTTCGAGTAGTTCAAACATTTCGATAAGCTTAATCTTTATCTTAAAGCAAATTGCCCTTGTCTTCGAAACTGAAATGCTAAATTGAACTGCGAATGAAGAATAATGATTGCGGAGAGTCGGTAGGTTTTTCATTTGGAGCTGCTTTGTGGTTTCGGCGGCCTGTGATTTTGTTTACGCGAAGTTTTCTCAACCTCGTTCCCAGGGTTCTCTCCAACCCTGGGAACGAGGTTGAAACTTTCTGCGATCAATATTATAATTCCAGGGGCACCCAACGAGAATATAGTTCAAAACCACTTAAACATAGCATTGTTAAACGTATTTTAGTATTTAAACGGTAGATATAGGTATATTTTTATCCCCTAAAAATTTTTTATCTGTTCGGATTTCGTAGCTGAAAGTCTAGTGATCCGAAAATTATAGGGATCAAAACTTACTTTTTCGAAAGTTTTAGCCAGAAAAAAGGCTCCCGAAAATTCTAGGTGACCTTTTCAGGGTAAAAATCCGTTAAAAATGGGCAATGATAGTAGTTTTTAGATTTCGAAAATCCTTGGAGAGGCAGGCAAGCAAAAAAATTTACAACAAATGTTCCGAAAATTCTAGATCTCAAATCGTCTTCCGAACAGATATTTTCCGAAAATTGTCGTTTGGTGCCCCTGTAATTCGACCTTCTTGCTATTTTTACCGTCAAGTGTAATGGTTCGGTTAGCTTTTCTTTCTTGTTTCCTTGTTTTTTTCCTCGTTAAGGACCAAATAGCTTCTTTTTGATTAAAGCAAATCATTGTGTTTTTTAACTAAGTGTTCCGTGTGTGTTTATTTGATTGCGTGATTGCGACCGAGTTTCATTGTAGAATTCAGTACAACCGGTTCAGAGTTGTGCTGCATGCAGTTGATAGTTTGAACGTTAAACATGAACTACGATCGAAAAAAAATAAAGCAATTCTGTATCATGCAGACATTTCCAAACGATATT